GTGGCTATAATTTTTAGGAAATTTTAATTTGAGGAATTATATTCCCAAAAGTAAGACAAGAGTTTCCAAGGCAATTGAACACTCCATTATTTCAGTTTGTTCATTAACATGTTCATAAACGTAAAAACTATATGAAATGTGAAAACTTGACTATGTGATTCATATTTCAATATGACCGTACCTCGATCTGTATTGAGAAATTCAATGTATTATAAGCTCATGAAAAGATGTACACATATGACTTTTATTTACTCCCCCCCTCTAAAAAAAAAACAAGAAAATCCTGTTCGTGACTTCTCGCTCTCAATTTTTACACAAATGCATAAAATTAAGGTAAAATAGCATATCTTGTATCGATTAAAATGCAACCAAAATATTTACGGTGTCTTTGAATAAAAATCTCCATGCTAAATTGACATAAAAAAGATACTCACCTTCAATTAGTATTTTCAACCTGTTTTCCCGTGGGTATTTATTTAATCTTATTTTATTTTCTTCTTTATAATAACGTTGGTATTCTATTATGGCAGAGATATACAATTATGACTCGCTTATACTGTACTCTCTAACTGTTAGGAATAATTTATATTTCATTTGAAAGGGACGCCATACATTTTTCAGTAAAAATGCATAACACGGCGTAAGTCGTTAAATTTCTTTAAAGTTTCACATTTTGTGAATAGTGCACAAGTTAGAAAATTAAGTATATGGAATACTTTAATGGGAAAAATAGACAAACGAAGTCTAGTTATTTGTTTTTAGAAATTACCCCGGTATATTGAAAAATAATAACGCCATTGTGTCCTCTTTGTTACCCCAGCAGTGTTTGTCGTGTGATTTTAAACTTATTTGACAACCGTATGAAAAAGGTTTAATAAAAATAAACCCACAAGATACTGATGTACAAGTAACAGTAACAGAAAGTTGCACGGAATACCCGATTTCGCGGATTCAACGATACCCTAATATTGAGTATTATACGCGATTTCACGGATAATACCATATTTCGAGTATTCTCTCCGACCTGTTATAGGGAAGGCTTTCCCCCCTAAAATCTTGCCCTTCGGAAAACTGGCTCTAGAGTAGAATATCACTTATTGAAATCCCACACCAGAGTCAGTTTTCTGGGGAGAGGGACCCTACTCAGTGTGGTAGTTATAGAGTGCGATTTCCCCCCGAGTCAATCCCCCCAATGAAATATAATTACTCCACATATTTTTAGGAGGAATGGTTGACACATTGTTACACTTATCCCTTCTTCAAAATGGTGAAAAAATTTATTGAACATACGTCAACGAAAAATCAACATGAAAATTTTCAATCTGATTTTTCTTTGCTATACCGTCCAACCATTTAAAAAAATCAAAGGAATTAATGAAACTGGTGAGGACTATAAATATCCTCTGCCTCCGTCCACCTGTGAGTCTGTCTAGCTGTCCCTCTAGCTGTCTGTGTGTCCCAAATGGTTTTCCGCACTTTTTTCTAACTACTTGCACAGTTGCAGACATTGAGCTGAGTTTTGGAAAAGGAGTACATCTTGATCAGTTAAAGTTCAAGTTTGCGTTTCGTTTCGCTTCATTTTTTAAAGGAATTACGACCTTTCAATTTTTACCATTTTTTGTCAATGTTTTTCTACACGTTTGGAGATATTGAGCCAATTTTTGGGTTAGTGATTTTCTAGATTGCACTTTGTTTCGCATCGTAAAGTGTTACGGAATATTTAAACTAGATTTCACTTGCCGGTAGGGGGCAAGTATTGCTACCGCAAATATCACAAACAAACTTTTACTGATTAAAATTCAAAAATGTTGGCTGAAATAGATGCCTTTCTCAATATAGAAGTGATATTTCATTAGTGAAACAACCTTATTTATGACCAAGCCAAAATGAAATAATTTGGTGAAAAGTTAAATTATGCAACTTTTCAGTTCAACATGTTTCTTTAAAAAATTATAAAATGTATGATCATGCATATTTCTTGCTTTAAAGTTTTTTAGGTACATTTTCAAGAATGTATTTTAATATTTAACACAATCCAAACATCCATTTTTTGTGTGTAGCATCATATTTTGAGAATATTTACATTTCTTTTGATAGCTGCATGTTTTGGTTGAGATTTCATGATTTGAAATATATGCTTAGAAAATTCTTACAACATATGTATATAAACAATCATTTACCTTTTAAAATCAGTCGTTAATTTGGTCTTTTTTGCAAAAAATGTTGTGCCTGTGCTTTATATTGATTATAACGAGGGGGTAAATCCTACTCTGAGAAAAAAAGAGGGGGAACTGAAGTACGATTTCCGGGGGGAAAGCTGACTATGGGGGAAATCCTACTCTACAACACCGGTATGTTACACTCATTCTTTAAATCACCAGACTTATGCAATACAAGGCAACTTTTAAAAAAATATTATTTTCAGACCATGAACAAAGCACTGCAAGGCACATTAATACCTAATTTTTAATACAATGCACACTCTGGTTCGCCGATTTTATATAATTAATATAACTTTATTTATTTCTATTCAAATCTAAATAATTAATTGAAATGGTAGCATATCAGGTAATTTTGATATTGAGACATAAATTAAATCACATCATCTTGATTAACAAGTAATGTGATCTATGTTTTGAGACGTCGATAGAACATTGATGAGTCATTGAATGCCAGAAATAGAGTACAGGTAAGGGAGTTCATAATACAAACCGAAAGTTAAATCAAGGAATTACTAGTCCTATATAAATTTAAAATATTTTGTTTAAGTTTTAATCTAAAAATTAAATACGACAATATTTTTTTTATGAATTTAAAATTGGTATCTCATAAATTCCTTATACCCCACACCCAATCTCCAGTCTGTACATATACTGTCAACTGTTTTATACTAAACACATCGATATTATCAACTGATCTGAGAGAATTAGATAATCAAAACTGATTGAGTACTCCTGTATACAAATAAAATATATACATTAAGATAATGAACAATGCGAGGGGCGTTCAATATTTTTGGTCCTTTATGGTTTTCAATATAAATTAGGTCACTCGGTTCGGAATTTTGGTCATCATGAATGAATATATCTTTCATTGAGATTCAAAATTTGGATACGTCCTTGTCCTTAGAAACACTTTTTATATACATTTTATATCACCAACACCACCACCACCCTGACTCTAGAAAGTGTGTCACCATATAGTGAACACTGGATGGGAGGCTACAAGTATTTATAATTACGTCATTAATATTATAATAACTTACTAATTGTCCCCTAATTTAAGAAAAATGTCACTATACAGGGTATACTAGACAGAAGACTACAGGTATTGATAATTACATATTAACATTGTTAAACTAGTGCTTCCCCCCCCCCCTCTCTACGAAATGTCACCATACAACGTACACTGGTTGGAAGGCTTCAGATATATATAATTAGGTCATAAGTGGTCCTCACTCCAAAAACTATGTCAGTAAGCAGTGTTTTCCCTTAGAACCAGCTACCGGCCAAATTGACCACTTCAACTTGACAAAAATGTGGCTTTGAAATAAAAATTTTGTTGTAAGATCAACAAAGATTTTGTCGGTAAACTCCAGCCCTTAGCCTGTTATAACCGATCTCTAACCGTTTACTTTGAAATAAAGGGAAAACACTAAGTCTGTAAAGTGCATGCTGGAAAAGTTTAATTCAGGTCATAATTAAAAACAGATTGAATTACAGTTATGGATTTTTAGCTTAACTCGACGAAGTCAAGATGACCTTGTGCTATACCCCCGGCGTTGGCGTCGGCATCCCAGGTTAATGTTTTAGGAGTAAGTCCATTCCCAAGTAACTATAAGCCCTACCTGAACCAAACTTGCATGGATAATGTATCTAGGCCCTAGACATTTTCTTTCTATAATGATAAGGAATAACTGTAAGATTTTTTTGTTTCATGTGTAACAGGAACCAGTGTTATCAAGGGACTAAAATAAGACAAACCTTTTCCAAAGTACAAGTCCTAACTTTGATGTAATAATTTAATTCAATGTACTCTATTGATTATAGTACTTGGGATTGGAAAGTCTTACTAAACCAATATATATGGGCCACACTGGTTAAATTATCTACCCAGGTTCTTTAGTGATTCCTAGATTATGATCATCACCTTGTTTTGAAATGAAAAGATTTGTAAAGTTTCATAATTTATTATAACAAAGGTAAAACTAGGACTTTAGCAAAAAGCAAAATGTTTCCAAATAAATATAACAAATGGATTTATCCAAAAATAATTAAGTAATTGAAAAATATAGGGGGAGAATGTGACTTCAAAAATATGTATTTATTGTACTAAAGAATCTCCATACACCCAAGAATGTAAGCCTATATAAAAATAAACACAGGGATAACCTAAATGTATAGATCTAACTGAAATATGGTAAGGGATATCTAATTCTACCCTGAACCAATAAATGAATGACTCTACTATGGGTATCTACATTATACTACATAAATTTGCTACCGAACTTGAAGTTCTTAAAAGCACGAACCTTACGTTCTTGACCCCTAGCAGAGTGAGTGAAATTTCATGAGTAGCACTATATATAGGCAGAGTAAGCCAATTATACACTAAAAATAAATGCCTAATCTGATTGGCTAGGACTAAGTCTCTTAACCAATAGAATTACAGAATACATATTACGTTTGGTGTGACTGACAATATGGCGGGTTCAATGAATTACTTAAAGAAGTGAAAGGTAAACATCTGTTAAATCGAAATATTAACTTTGTACTATTTTGAAATGACTTCGGAAGTAAAGACATGTATAATAGGCATAAGGTATAAACATTATAGCTATAAATCTGACTTAGTAAGCTATTAAAACATCAAAATTGTCACACATGATAATTACTATTGGCTTGCATGATAAATTTATGCATAAACACCTTCGGGAGAATTAATGAACACTCAGTCTGGATGAAATACAGAGTTATACGATACTGTGTTATATTTTTCAGGTCGCGGGACGTAAGGGCTTTCCTCACGTGATTTACGCGCGGATCTGGAGATGGCCGGACCTCCATAAGAATGAACTGAAGCACTGCAAGTTCTGTCACTACGCCTTCGACCTCAAACAGGACAGCGTGTGTGTCAATCCATACCACTATGAGAGGGTGGTCTCCCCTGGAATTGGTACGTATCTCTCTCTCTCTCTCTCATGTTTATAAATGGGACAGTGTGTGTCAATCCATACCACTACGAGAGAGTGGTTTCCCCCGGGATGTGTATGTGATTCTGTCTCTGTTGGTGTCTTTCTTCTCTCTCTCTCTGTTTGTGTCCTCTCTCTCTCATGTTTAAAACACAATAGGATCAAACTTTTGGGGGGAAAAGCATGGCCGCTGCCAGGTTTGGAAATCTGAAGGAATTGAACAAAATTTTAGGAATCTTGGCTAATGACGATGCACTTTATTATAATTTACCTATTATCTGAGTAACAGTTGAGAATAATTAAAAGATCAGTTTTATAGGCCAAAATAAAATTATAATTTGTTTGGAATTGCCGCCCGCCTCATTAAAATCCCCCCCGCTCAAAAAATTTTATTGGCAAAATATTACCAATATTTTTTTTTATCGTTTTATCGTCTTACATTGTTTCATATAAGTTAGTTTGTTTGTCAAAATAGCTTTTTAAAGTCAGGTTTGAGCTCACATTAATTTAACAACTCGGGTCAATAAAACGCTTTCGTCATAGTGTGTATGGTATAGCGACGATAGGTGGCGATTTGACAAAATAAAAGCCACCAAAATGTCAGACCATTCAAGCGTTGTGTTGAAGAGCAGAACATTTATGCATCTCTATAAAAATTAAAGGTGAATAAAAAAATTAAACGGAATGATACATCGATACCTGGAAAGAGCTATTGTAATAGATTGCACATTGAACCTGATAAGTCCGTCATGTTGAAAAAAATGATCGTTCAGTTCCCACTTAAAAAATTACATGGTTCAGGAACGTTTATCCCAAATACTAAAGGAAAAATGTTATCTGTCAGTATGACAAGTCCTTGAAAGGTAATGTTAATACTGATGCATGGTGAAAACCCGAGAATATACGAAGCACCCCCTCACGGTTTTACACAAAACATCCCAACTATTCTTAAGAAATTTTGTGTGGTTCAAACTCTTTGCTTACGTTGTTTTAACAAAGAGGTAAATTTCAAAGAGATATACTATGAAATAGTCTGATATAAGTATTGTTTAACTAAGATTCTTAAAATAAACTAGAAGTTTGATGCTGAAATTTAGCTATTAACAGGTCCAGTCCAAAGACTATTTCTACCTAATGTATGTAGGTATTAATAGCTACCTAGGTATTTAAAGCTACCTAAAGTAGCTATTTTTACCTACTTTCTGCTTTACTTGCATTTTGTGGCCAAAGGCATGAACGGCACAACATGGTGAGTACACAATTTCTTGATACAGTCACATTGATGATGAATATGACAAAAATTTGGCCAAAAAATGAAAACTTCGTATTTTATTAGTTTTGCAAGCAATTGCCGATTCAGGAAGTAATCATTTTTTTGCCAAAATTTTGTCGTATTCATCATTAGTGTGACCTTATCAAAAAATATGGTATTCACCATGTTGCACTGTTTGGTCTTTTGGTCGCAGAATGCATAAATTATATAAAGTAGGTAAATATAGCTACTTTTGGTAGCTTTAAATACCTAGGTAGCTATTAATAGCTACGTAGGTAGAAATAGTCTTTGGACTGGATCTGATTAATATATGAACAGATCTTAACATCTAAATGAGATTAATATTTGAGAACCGTTCTGTGTACCGGCATATCTTTTTTTTCACAATCGGACCAAATAATATCAATAAAATAAAAGAACGAGGATAATAAATGGAAATTACCACTGTTCATTGAGATTTTATTTTTTTATCATTTAGCTTCAATTTGTAAAAAAAAATAAATAAAATCCCTCCCTCCCTCCTGGGTCTGAAAACCCCCAGGCGGCAATTCCAAACAAACATTTTTTTAAGGATGGCTTTATCCATGATAAGTGTTGATTTATTTATCATGAGTTACATTAACATTAATTAGCACTGTTTAAAGTTTATCTTGTTTTGAAAACCTGAACATACTGAAGACTGACGCATTTGTCCACGTTAAATATTAATTTTGAATTTTTTTTTTCAGATTTGTCTGGACTTAACATCCAACATGCAGGTAATTAATCTGAGTGTATAAACAGTTAACTAAAGGCAACTGTAAGTACACATATAGCATCAAATTATGATTATTATGATTTGTGGACTCTGAGGCACTTTGCTCATTCCCAACTGAAGAAATACTGTATTGATAGAATATTGATGTGTTTACAATTTATTTTTAAAATCTTCCAACCAATTTTTGAATTACAGTGGCAATGAACAAGTTACATCATGAAAAACAAAACTTATAATTTCTGTAGAGAGGCTGTAGTATACCTTTGACCTGACAATACAGCCTACAGTTTAAAAAAAGCCACACATTAGCTTGTTAACTATAATGTTTCTTTATATTCAGAAAAAGACTATTTTGGAATGAACTGCAGTGAAAATGAGGGTGTCTGAATCTTCTTGCTTTTAAAAATACGAACAGAATTATGCAACTAATTGGTGTAAAAAAATTGGTTTTTTTGCAACACTAGGATTGTGAAATTTTCTGAATGAAATTCATAATATTCAGAAATAAATCTTCCTATTCAATTACTGCTTAGATTTAATATTTTTTGGAATGGCAGTGATTTTTCTACTCTACTTTAAAAAAAATGGTCTGAGCCTTAACAATTAGTAGTCATTTGAATTAAACTTGGTAAAATTCAGTAACTTGGTTACTGAACATTAGCAATGCATTTCTTTACATATTTAGCTATGCAATGAAACAAAATTAATTTGTTTTCAAAATTAATTTAAGAATCTAAATGATAGGAAATCATACAGCTCTTGTTTTAGACAAGCTGTAAAAACTTCATACAATTTCAGTGATGGAAAAAGAAAAAAAAACTGATGGGGAAAAAATAATGATTTATTGAAGATGGCGAAGAGTCAACATACAGATGTATTAAATTGACTATAGAAAAACAGACCTGTTTACTCTTACAATTTCACCATATTTTTTTTACGGGTTTATAGTCCAAAATACGTGTCTCGTTTTGCTATTTTGAAAATATGGAAATCGAAAATACATTTTTTGGAGTTTAGCTGTTAGTTTCTGTTATGATCTGTCTCAGTTTCACGCTTTTTAAATGCTAAAAAAAAAGAAATATTTCAAACATAGAAGTGATGTCGGGTTGCCAAAACGCACATGGTATATATAACAATGACCATGTTATTAAACCATGTTTAAGTAATCAGAAAAAACAGTTCTCTATTAATATATGTTAAATCGATGGGAGAAGAAATCTTACTGGCAAATGTCAAATCTCACGGACAAATCTAATAAAAAATACTGAGATATAACATTATGGGTAAACAGGTCTGGGAAAATGACTGGCCTGGATTTACAGGGTTCTGACGTCGTTTCTGATATTTCAGCCCCGCCCTCTCGCCTCGTTAAGGACGAGTATGGTAACGAGATCGGGATGAGCATGTCGAGTTCTGAGGAAGTCTCACAAACAGTACAACATCCTCCTCAGAGCGAGTTAGCTCGGATCCTGACGTTCGGCGGCATGGGTCGGTGTCTGTGTTGTTTTTATTGTTGGGTACTTGATGGGGATAGTTTTTTTTTGGGGGGGGGCAATTTTGTTCTTTTTTAGGGCTGAAGGAAAATTTTCATAACTTTTACATTTTTTTTGGAGGGGTTAAATTTTGTGTTCTTTATTAGGGCTGCAGGATAAATTTTATACCTTTAACATTATTAATCGGTATTTTTTTTTTCTTTCAAAAAAATCATACATAAAATCTCCAAAAATAATTTTTTTATTAAAGATAAATTTAAACTTTGCATAAATTACTATCAATCAATAAATAAATATTTAGTTAATTAATTTTCAAGATAATCATTATGATAGAATTTTCAAAATTTGAACTATATTCAATAAAAAAACGAATAAAATAAAAATGAATATTTTAATCTTTCATAAACATTTTAATTCTCTTTGTGAACTAAAATGGGGAATAAAAAACTTTTTTATTTTTTCACTATTTTCTAAGAGAATCTGCATGGAAGAAATTATTTGTTTTTCACTGTCAAAATAAATGTAATCAGTTTGAATTTGATCACATTGATTTTGCTTACTGTTTTACATTTAATTGTGTGGGCTGACATATCAGAAATTGCCTCAGCTGTTCACTATAGTGATCAATGTACATGTATGTTGCTAATTTTTTTATTTTTACACATTTAATTTTAAACTGTGTTTATCATTTTCAATAGCCTTAATTGTGCTGAATATTTATTTTTAGGACAGATGTCGTATTTATTTTCATTGGTTCATAATGCTTTGATTGGTTGATTTAAGGGGGCCGACTATAGTTTTCATTGCGCAATATTTCGCGCATCATAGTAATATGAAGCGTATTTACTGTTTAATGCAACTTTTTCCGCTTAATTATTAAAATTAAACAAAATTACGAAATTATAGGTATGAAAATGTAATTAAAATTTGATATAACTTTTTTTTAACGGATTTTAGAATTGATAGGTAGGTTGACGTCGTTGCAGTGTGTTTTTAACGTTATGATAATCTGTAGCTCTTAAAGAAAGGGGTAATAAAAATATTATTAAAGAAAAAGTAATAAAGATACGCTCTTGAAAATTAAAATATGGAAATTTGAGAATATCTCCAATATTTTTGTTATGTTTTCATATGAATCCATTGTGTAAGACATATTTTGTAATACTCTATAAAAATAGTACAATTTGCTTATTTTTTGCATTTTGAGATGCCCCCTCTGGTAACAAGACGGTAGAATTTTGTGTTTCTTACATATATTGTATAATATAGTATTACGCATCATATATTTCAGTTTGAACAAAATCTCTATTGTAGTATTTGTATAATTTACTTTAAAGTGCAAAAAGTGGCATTTTTCCTATATAAACCTATAGTAAATGTACCTGTATTTTGAGACGGTCCCTCAAAAATACCTGGACGGTAGATTTCGCCCAAACTTTGCTTATACACTGAAGTTAATGTAAGTAATATATGGTATAAAAATGAAGAGTTTCGCTATTGTAGTTTTCACACAATAAAACTATAGTCGGCCCCCTTAAACACAGGTCAAGGGTCATCCGGCCCTCAGTCGACTGTGCCACAGCACCCTCACACGGCAGGACCAGCTATTTCAAGCCCCCTGGGGCGGGGCCCCAGTGCCCCCAACACCCCCCTACATAATCCAATGTCCCCCCAGGCAAATCCTTTATCGCCACAGGCACAATCAGGTTCTATTTTTAGTTTGACGTAGAACTGCTTGTCATGTAATCTTGGTGCGGTAGATGTTTTCATGTATATTGACATCTGTATGTCTGGCAAGAGTTTTTGTGCTGCAGATTTCCTAATCCACACAGCTTTTTTTTCCCTATTGCTTGGCTGAACTGAAATCCTGTGTCCAGAGAAAGGGGTTTTTCTGCATTCTGTCCAGCATATTGACAAAATTAAAATTTCCCAAATTCATTATAGCAATGCCTGATATTATTTAAAATTTCAGTTTTTTAGGTTAAATGATCCTTTAGTTACAATAAGTTTGTTTTGTTTAAAGTTGCATAAAACCAAAAAGAGTAATTATTATCTAATCAAAATTTTCAACTTCAATTACAGATATCTTTAAGGGACTCCGACCCTCAGCCAGGAAGGACAACTCTATAATTTATAATTTGATTCAAAAAGTCTTAAAATGAAACTTAAAAATTAAATCTTTTCATGCAACAATTTTCATTATATGCCTCTCAATGTGCTTTAAGGTTCTTTGAACTTCTCAGAAAGGTCTAATTAAAAGTAGAAATTTTTATCTCATAAAAGCATTTTCAGATACCAATGTTTTATTAATATGATATGAAATTAGAAGTGATTTATGGAGCTTTGCAAAGAACGTTGAGGCACATTGAGAGGCATATAATGAAAATTGTTGCATGAAAATATTTAATTTACAAGCTTCATTTAAAGACTTTTTGAATTAAATTATAAATTAAAGAGCTATCCTTCCTGGCTGAGCCTCGTAGTCCCTTAACTGATGAATGTGACAAATATATCTTAATCACTAGACTTCAAACTTGAAATAATGTTAGCAGATTAATAGAATACCTTAATCTTTCTGTTTTACTAAAACGTAAACAACTTGTAAAATCAGCATCCTTTGTTCATTGTATGATGAACCACAAACGTGGGATTTTCTTTGCTCATACATTTGCCAAAAGCATAATAAAAGAACAACTCTTGTCATATTCAGATAAATTCCTCATCATATATATGTATTAATAAAGAACAATGTGAAGCCCCATATGTCAGTAATACCCAGATTATTGTAGGTTGAAGATTTAAGAGCACATTTTCTCTGGACACATTTTGCACGCTTTATTTCTGTCTTAGCTTATACACGCCTAATGCTTGACCTCATAACTGTGCAGCATGCTTTGCTTTGTATGTTTAGTTACAGTATATGGTTGGATACACATTTTGTGAAGTCCTAATCTTGAAATTGTCTTCATCTTCAGATTAATGGGACATCATAAGTACTGTAGTTCTTGTCTCTCCTTTTGTCATCAGCATATGTATGAGTGAGTGATTTGCATATATGCAAACAGATAATTTGAATAATTCGTCTTGTCTCTCCTTTTGTCATTAGCATATGTATGAGTGAGTGATTTGCATATATATGCAAATGGATAATTTGAATAAATTGTTTTGTCTCTCCTTTAGTCATTAGCATATACGTGTATGAGTGAGTCATTAGTATATGTGCAAATAGATAATTTGAATAATTTGTCTTGTCTCTCCTTTTGTCATTAGCATAGGTATGAGTGAGTGAGTGATTTGCATATATGCAAATGGTTAATATGAATAATAATAATTCAGTGGTTTAATTAATTATCCATGAACATTCATTCACTGGTGCAAAGACTAGTGAACTTGTGAAATTCACTGATCCATTACATTTAATTCATTGTTCCACTGGCAAATAAATCAAAACTGTAGCTTTGTTTGATGTCCTATGGTTAATTCAAATTTTTAAGTTCCTCTTGTTTCGTGATTATTATTGGTATTTTTATGGTCCTGCTCACTGAAATATATGGAGGTACAAACCCTATTTAGCTAAAAAGTAGCAGAGCAGACACGGACCTCCCAAAAATCAGAGGTAGGATCAGATGCCATGGAGGAGTGAGCATCCCATGGCAACCAGTCGCACCCGCAGTGTGCTCCTTGTCATGATCAGGAAAAGGACAGAAAGATCCTTAAACAATTCATTGTACATATAATGGCCTAACAATTAGTATGAAAAACATCAGTTAGTATTTAACTTCATGATAAATTGTATTTGCTGACAAGGTCATTGTTTCAATTGAATGGGTCTAATGGAATGTAGCTGAGAGATAGTAAGGCCAACAATAAAATGACTTGTTTGTTGTGACGACTTATCATAATCCAGAAGCCTTTTTTTCTCGCTATTTTGAATTTGAAATTATTTAGAGTTTCCAGGGAAACGGACATGATTTAATTTAAATCATTTTGCTTCAAAGCAGGATTTTATATTTTTAATAGAATATTTGTAGTCAAAAGCAATTGTTTTTACAGTTAAGAAATATATATAAACAGCATTAACACAGATTCTAAGGATTTTATGATATATTTACCGGTACTCTAAATTTTATCAAGGATTAAACAACAGAAAAAGTATACAAGTCTAGAGCCACATTTATTTACAATTTAATGCACTAATTGCCAATCATCATAAACTATCAAACATTGCTTTTTATTTTTGCTTTTGATGTTTAACACACTATCTTGCTTTTTAAGGATTTAACAGCGTAGCAGACAGTTACTAGAAAAACTAGTGCTAATTGTAACGGTGACCGTTACAGATGTTCCCCAAACGCTCCCCAACTCTCTTTTTGTGCAATATTACCTGTAAGCTTCATTAAATAAGAAAAAATCTATGTATTTGAGACTTTAACAACATATACTCGGATGTGTACGAAGTTCATTCAAATTTTAGCATTGCATGCGTGCGCATGCGAATGCTTGTGCGTAATGACCATATCATTTTGTCTACACAATCCATATACTTTAATATACTAAAAATTAAAGTATTTAATCCAAAAGTAATAAAAAAATACGCTCATTTAAGTGTATTTTTGATTTTGTTCATTTCACGTGCACGCACGTGCATAAATGAGCACGGTGACCATACCTTCTTGTAGAAGTCCATTACATCTATTTATGTTCTAAATCCCAACCCATATGGTTGAAAACCAAGGGCGTTATACCTGTTAAAAGTTTCAGCCAATCAGATTGCAGCGCACGTACACGCACGTGTATGCATGTGCATGGTGACCATACCTTTCTTGTAGTAGTCCATTATATCTGTCTATGTTCCAAATCCCATCCTGTTTGGTTGTAAACCAAGGGAGTTATACCTGTTTAAAGTTTAAGCCAATCAGATTGCAGCGCACGTGCATGCACGTGTTTTCATGATAATTGGTATATATCATATTGTAGGATATCCTAATGCATGGCTATGTTCAAAATTTCAAAGCATTTCATCAAAAAGCGAAAAAGATATTGAGATTTTTGTTTCAGCCAATCAGAGTGCAGCGCACGTGCATGCGCGTGAGATCTTGCTATTTTGACCATGTCATATTGTCTATGCTACTAATTTATCCTTATATTATGAGTTCTAAAGCATTTCATCAAAAATTTAAAAAGTTACATCTATATCAATTAAATCTGTCATTTATCATGTTGCACGTGCGCGCTCTTCCAAGCACGTGCGCGCAAAATGACCTTCGTTCCGCAAATCTACATTACATGTCTACTGACCCTAAAAACATTTCACCTTAGTCTGATGTGTAGTTTACAAGATTACTCGCGGACAAAATTTTCCCAGGAAGAAAAATAATAAGAACTAGATGAGATCTCGTTGCGAGCAACGAGTAGGTCTTCCGTTAAATTTCTAGATAAGATGAGATGTGATTTTGACTGAGATATTCGTTAAAAGAGAATGACATTAAGTTTTTCTTCAATGAATTTAAAGTTTCTGTTTTTTTATCCAATATTCTGAACATCTTTTGTTCAATATTGCTTATAAAAATACTCCCCCTTTTCGAGACGTAAAGCATAAAAAAGAGGCCCATGGGCCACATCGCTCACCTGAGAAGCTTTGACCATTCTGTTCTTTACCAGATTTCCCCCTTGTTATACATAATGCATCCCCACCCTACCCCACTGATCATAATTTAGACATTTTGAAATCTACACAACCCCATGATCCTTCCATGGGCACATATGTTTCAGCTTTTTTGGCCCAGTGGTTCCTGAGAAGATTTTCAAAGATTTTTCCTATATATTTCTATGTAAAACTTTGATTCCCTATAATGGCCCCGCCCTTCCCCCGGGGGTCATGATTCCTACAATTTAGAATCTACACTACCCCAGAATGCTTCCACATAAGCTTCATTTTTTCTGGCCTAGTGGTTCTTGAGAAGAAGATTTTCAAAGATTTTTCCTATATATTTCTATGTAAAACTTTGATTCCCCATTGTGGCCCCACCCTTCCCCCAGGGGTCATTATTTGAACAATTTAGAATCTACACTATACCAGGATGCTTCCACATAAGTTTCAGCTTTTCTGGCCTAGTGGTTCTTGAGAAGTAAATTTTCAAAGATTTTTCCTATATATTTCTATGTTAAACTTTGATACCCCATTGTGGCCCCGCCCTTCCTCCGGGGGTCGTGATTTGAACAATTTAGAATGTACACTACACCAGGATGCTTCCACATAAGTTTCAGATTTTCTGGCCTAGTGGTTCTTGAGAAGAAGATTTTCAAAGATTTTTCCTATATATTTCTATGTAAAACTTTGATACCCCATTGTCATTTGTGGCCCCGCCCTTCCCCCGGGGGGTCATGAGTTGAACAATTTAGAATCTACATTATACCAGGATGCTTCCACATAAGTTTCAGCTTTTCTGGCCCAGTGGTTCTTGAGAAGTAAATTTTCAAAGATTTTTCCTATATATTTCTATGTAAAACTTTGATTCCCCATTGTGGCCCCGCCTTTCTCCCGGGGGTCATGATTTGAACAATTTAGAATCTACACTACACCAGGATGCTTCCACATAAGTTTCAGCTTTTCTGGTCCAGTGGTTCTTGAGAAGAAGATTTTCAAAGATTTTTCCTATATATTTCTATATAAAACTTTGATTCCCCATTGTGGCCCCACCCTTCC